AAATGTAACAATAAAAAAAAGTATTTCTGCACAAAATATTCACAGGCACAATATCAAATTGATAAAACAAATTTACTAAAAAATCCCCCTCAGATTACTGGGATGGATTGCTCTTCAAAGTAATGGATTACCTTGTGGTAGAGCTCAGGTGCGATCCTCATGTACAGGTTCATATCCAGCTCATTGTGGTATGTAACAAATGGACGGGCCACTGCTCCCCCAGGAATAATGTTCATCATTGGTGTCTCAATCTGAAGTAACAAGCACGATTCAGCAAAGTGAGTTCACACAGACAATTTTTATATAGTTATTTGGAGCTTTTTGCAGTGGACAGTGACAGGACAGGGGGACAAGGAAAGGGCCACAGGTTAGATTCAAACCCATGGCTGCTGCTGCAAGGACTCTACCAAGTGAGCGATCAGGGCACCCCACCCTCATTTTAACTGTCTCAGTTGTGTTACAAACACAAAATATTAGAGAGAGCATTCTTTTATAAAATCCCTATTATAAATTAGTGTAAACAAAACTAAAGACTTTTAATTTGCTGCATGCCGTGGTCAACTTGGTATCAATGTCTCAATACACTACAGACAACAATTTTTACTGTACCTCCAAAAATCCCAGCTGGTCCAGGAAGCTGCGCAGGTATGTGATGATTTTGGAGCGAGTTATAAACTTCTGCCTCACGTAGTCATTCAGAATCAGATCCAAATAGCGTTGGCGGAATCGTGTTTCCTTTGAGAGAAAGATTGCACAGTGGTGAGAACGAATGCTTCTACATTGGTTATTGCTGTTGTTGTGACATGTGTTGTTGTCTTCAACTCATTTAGTGATTAGCAGAAGACTTCTGAACTGATGTCAAAATCACTTCTGTAAGGTTCTTCTTTCTTGGGTAACAAAAAACAGATTCATGTCTCCTCATCTGAGAGGACATTTTCTAAAAAGACCACAAATCAGGTGATGTTGCTCCAGATAAACAAGAATCTTCCTGTCAGACCTATACTTTTATGTGATCAAACTTTCTCACAGTGGACTTGTCACAGCAGGAAAAACATAAGTGTATCCTGTTACATTAATTACGGCTCTATTCCATTTAAGGCGTGCCACTAAGCCATGCAAGCATGGCAGCATGTAGAATAGAGGATACACTGACAATGTCACTGCACGTGGACTACACTCACTCCTCCTTCAGTAGCACTAACAGTCATCATCTGCCATCATGCGTTCAGTGAGGGGAAGAACAACTGAAAGCACTGCACAGCACCAACAGAGTCACAACCACATACTGTCAATGGTCGCATTGTATAGATGTGATTGTTTGAGTAGCACCATGTGAGATGGTTCTGTGCCCCTAAACGAGTGCTGTAAAGGCTAGAAAATATGTGCCGCTTAAAACAGAAATGCTCCAGCATGCGACAATGACTTCTAGCACCAGCAGCTCACCTTTAACATCTTGTTTGCTTTTTACACAAACACCGTCACACACCGTATACCCCAGTGAAATGTCAGGAAGATATGAAAAACAGATACTGAGACATGAGAACTAGTGCTTTTACTTTCTGTTTTCTAATGACACATTGCAAGTGTGGCGCTTCTCATTAACTTCAAGTGCCTAGTCATGGTTGGCATTACCTTATCCTTGAGGCCAAAGTGGAGGTGGGGCAACATGTGCAAACATGGTGATAGTAGGGTCAACTCAATGGGAATGATGCTCAACTCCCCTTTTTTGGTCTTCCCTGGGTTACCACGGACACCAATGATATCACCTCTGCGGAGTTTGTTGTTGATGGCAATAAATTCCTCCTCAGACTTGTAGTTCCTGACAGAGTAAAAGAAGATACACAGAAATCAACAAATTGTCGGAGTATACTACATAATGTTTCACAATACAAAAATGTTGTATGATGCAAGTAAGTTACATCAACCACCACAATAATGTTGGAAATGTGGGTTTGTGGCCAACTAAGGTGTCTTCGAAGCTGATGTTGAGTCTACTGACCCTTCAGCTGTTACAACCAAAACCAAAACACTCAGTAGAGTAAAGCAGGCCAACGTCAAAGTAGAGTAAAGCAGACAAATACAAATGATGTGTTAGACCTATATATAGTCATTCTATACCTTGAATTCGCCATAACTTGCAACTTGACGCCTTCACCTCGAAGGTCGTAGAAAATCAGCTTGGCACCAGAAGCCCGCTTGGCGTGGACACGGCCTGCCAATAACACATTGAGCTGAACAGGGAATCTACTGCTGGATTACAATGTACACACAAAACAGAAACCAGTTTGAGATCATAAATATATTCCTGGTACCTGACACATTGAGGACGACATCAGTCAGCTGGTCTCCAGGCTGTAGATGATTGTATTTCTCAATGAACTCTGTGAGGGACAGGTCTATATGATACTTGTGTGGATACGGGTCCTCTGCTGTGCCCTTCAGCTCCTGGATGGCCTGGGTGCGGATCTTGAAGTATTGCTATGTTAAAGGGAAACAAATGATGGTATTTATACAAAAGAGATAAAAATATTAAGAGAAAAATAAGTAATTACTAGCTTTAATAACCATAGAAGAATCTCACATTTGGGTCAAGCGTCTCCTCATCCAACGCACAAGCATTCTGCGCTCCCTGGTCATTAGTTTCCTTCTTTTGCTCCACCTGGTCTTTGACCTTGGCTTCTTTCTCAGACGCCTTCTTCTCTGCTTTCATTCGTCTCTTCAGCTCACTGATAAGAAACAAAAAGGGAAGCAAACATGACTCATAGGTGAAATATTGAAGTTTGAACTGAAATTTAATAAATGTTTTAACAGTTTAACAAAAACTTACCACACCGTACAAAAAAATAAAAATAAAAACAAAGCCACGACACAATCTACTAATAACAGAGATGCACAGCAACCAATCATGCAGAAAGGGGGAGGGGACCACATTTCCTTTGATGACAAAAGGTTGGTTGTTTTTCTCACTGGAATGGAAAAGCCACCAACCTTTTGTCACCTCTCCAACGGTTCCCGTAAATTTGAGCTGGGGCTGCAGCTGTACAAGGGGGTGCGCATTTTAACCACTGTCCCCTGACCCCAAAGGCTTGGCCCAGGTGCTGCCTGGCTGCCCTGACCAGACACAGCATACTGAGCTACCACAGTCAGCGAACACACCTGAGAAAATAAACATATATATATATATATATACACACAAAAAGAGTGTACAGCATATATAGCAATGGCTGTCTTTGGCCCATCAGACCAATGTAAACACTGTTGGGGTTAATATAACTGCTGGACTGCACCAAGACCCTCGCCTGAGGACAATAAATGAATAATAAAAAAAAGGAACCATGGTGAACTCGTTGAGAATTTCATATCAGAGAAATCTAGGTTCACTTTTACTTTTGGTTAGAAAAGGGTGTGTCACAGATAACGCCATCGTTAAACACAGAAATACATAACGTTAACTTATCGCTTTCAAATAAAGAAAGTCAAGGCGAACGAAGGACAACGACGTTAACTTTATTTAAGAATTGTTTTGACGCTTTCATGCGCCTAAAATAGAAACAAAATGCTCTGCTACAGTAAAATGCCACAATTAAATATATACCAAACGTTAACAGTAGCTAATATCTGAAATAAACAACACCGTTACCGGATCAACGTGAGGAAGACATTTCATTGGGTGTATTTTGGATTGTGTAGTTTTACTGGTTAGTAGAAAGCACTGTAGCTATTGGCTTCAGCTCACTTTCATGACTACAATTACCAGACAACCAAACGAACTGAATCCTGGGATATGAAGTCAGTTCTATATGTGGTCCGTCTCCATATGGAACCCTCACTTTGCTATCATCCTCCGACCGGATGCTACGTGCAGCAAAGCCGAAGTAAAACGGTCGTAACTGCTGAAACAACAGATTGTTCGTGGGAAATAACAACGCTTACGGGCCAGAGAGAGGCTGAAATGCGACGGAAGAAAAGAATAAGCTCACTTCTTGCTGAGTTTCCCGTCGTCCGCCGCTGTCACTTCAGCCATGTTGTAGATGCTGCGCGCTCGGAAAGATCAACGGAAGCACACGCGCCGCAAAAACGCGAGAAGTTGGTGGTGCGTTTAGGTGGCAGTCGGAAATCAGTACACCGGAAATAGAGGAGAAGAGTTACTTCGCTTAATTTACCAACAGTCGAATCTGAGTGCCACAAAAAAAAGCGACAACTGCAACATTTATCAGTAACATGTAACCCAGGCAACAGTGATGGAGGGTTCAGACTTTAACTTGACGTGTGAGAGCACAATTGACTATTTAATACTGTCTACTGGTGGAGACTAGAAGCGGACATTTCCCCCCGTGCCCTTAATGCAACGTGCCCTTTATAGAGTAGAGGGGGAGAAACATGTAGTGATCGTCCTGATGGTGGCACTATAGGAGAGGTCAGATGGTCACTAAATCCCTACTCCATCCCCAAGGACAATGAGTCATTACATTCCCAGAATTATAGCTATTATTATTAGCTTTTGACAAAACTAGAAATAGTACGTGATGACACTCTTATGAATGATAATTTATGAGGTGGGCTATCAATGTATTCAAATAAAGTCCTTAATTTCTATGTAAGACACAACTTTAAATTTCTTAACCCTAGCACTTTACTTTTATGTGTCTGTATTTTACATAGATTGCCCTAAAACTCACATATAATATTTTTTTAAATATATATTACAGATCTTTTTTTAAGCAATTCACCTAAAGGCTTTAGTCTGGGTCAAATACCAAATGGGTTTTCAAAATCACACACAACAAAATGTAATGCTACTTATTTAATTTAACACAAGAAACACATTGAAATATTTAAACAACAGAAATGTTAAAAACAGATACTGTAGCCTACGGTGGGTTGTATATCAGGATGGTAGCAGGACTAGGGAGTCAGAGGTGCATGTTGTCATGTCGCTGTTGGCATAATTGTCATAATTTGTCTAAATTAATTTGAAATAAGAACTCAAAGGCATAACATTTAAAGTATATATGTTTAATACAGATAGCAGCAAGTTTACAGAAATTTAATTGCAAGAGAATAAAAAAGTCCCAACAAAAGCCAAATATGTAGAGAGGTCCCCCTCCCCAACCGCAAGGGTGGTTATTTGACAGTTGTTCACATGGTTTGAAACAAAAAGGCAAAATGTCCCCCTTGCTATTTCCAGGGCCAAAAATTGTCTGTTTACTAGCAGATTGGTTCACTTTTGTTAGGAGTGAAGAGACTTAATTTTTACAAAAGTGTAAGCAACGGCGTATGGGAAATAATGTCAGACTCAGAATAAATTAGGGACAAATTACATTGTGCATAAATGTTTTTCAGAACTTGTAGTCCACATTGTTCCTAAATTACAGGACAAAACAAATACTCATTGCCTTTTTCCTGGTCTGAATAACAAAATGTGTGAAAATGATATAAACTAGTAACTCAGAGGCCCTGAGAGAAATCAGAAAGATTAGGAACCACTGCACCAGTAAACAGCAAGCCTGGATACAACGTAAACCTCTATATAAACCCTGTAGGCAAAAAGGTAATAAAGAAGTCTGACAAACAATTAGTGACCCTTGTCTCACCCCCCAAAAAGTATCCATGTCTGAGATTGTTGTTGAGAAGATAAATTTGCATTTTAACTGACTAAATGATTTTAAAAATCGGTTTAAGGCGGCACTCAAAGCATCAGAAAGTATTTAAACAAGCAACATAAATAACAGAAAGAACATCTACTTTGGTTTTCTACTTTGGAGAGGCTATTTAGAAAAATATATATTCAAAAACTAACAGATCTACATTTACAGTATATTAGCTGCATAGCAGTTTCAGAAAAAAGTTGCCTGCATCTACGTTGTATAACATAAATGCAATGGATACTTCAGTACAAACAAGTTAAATGAATGACAGAAATTGCACAACACATTTATCAACCACAACCTCATTTATCTGGTCTGTGTTGTTGAGCATTTAAAGTACACTTAAAGTCTTATGGCTTAAAATACTCTAATTAATGAGGACTAATCATCACTGGCAGAACCAGCGGGGTATTAAACAGGCAACAACGGTAAAACATCAATCTGGTTGCTACTACAGCATCTGCTCAAGGCACGTGTACAATACCTACTACAGTCTGAAGTGACATTTTAGGAAAAAATTTACAATTTGAACATCTGTGATAGACTCAGTTTGTTAATATTAAATTAACTGGTAATGTTAAAAGAAAACCACATCTTGTTCTATTGAAAGAAACAGAGAAAAGAGTCTGTAGCGTCTTGAGGAAATATGAGAACTTTTATCAGCAATCCCCCCATCTTTTACATACAACTTGTAGTGACTGCGTAATGAGTCACACTTTTATATATTTCTGATCTCCAGTTACATTGTAAATACACAAATGAGAAAACTGTAATTTCCAAAAAGTAATTACCTCCCCAGTATGTGTATAAAAGAACATTCTGCATCTAAGTGAGGCATTCACAGCCACACTGTATAATCACATTCAGCACTATATTCATAGTAAAAATACTGAAATTTGTTGGTTCTGTTTTGAAGGATGTTGACAGTAAAAACTGCTTGGTGCCATTCTGCCCTGCTAACTATTTGGTCAAAAAGAACTACAGGGCTGGCGGTCCACTTATAAGCCTTGAACAAACATTGATATGTACATTAAGGTGTATATTATTACATCTACACCTTCCAAAATTACAAAAGAGCAACTGTGCACAGGAATGTACATGTTATTCATAGTGTACAAAGCACTTTACTATCACATTTATCATCATCACAAGGTGCCAGTTACAGTATCAGAAGGTGTGTGTGTGTGGGGGGGGGGGGGCAAATCACATTGCTGTCATCAATATAGTTCTGAACACAACTATGACTACGGGAAACAATTTAGATAATAACCAACACACAAATAAATTAGATATGCTTCTCTGACAAGAGGCACATGTACTATACCAATAAAAAAAGATAGTCTTTCTAAACTTTGTAAAACAAACAAAAACAAATAAAATCATAAATACTCAACACTGGAAATCTTAGTTCTTCTATTTCACAAGTTGAAGAAAGCCAATCACAGATAGCTCTTTTCTCCAAAGTCAGGTTTCCTTCAGGAGTAGGGTCCCTTTAAAAACCACTCAAACTGCTCAGACTGACACATCACAAATCTTCCACAAATCACATTAGTCAAGTTTACATAATCTCCATCATAAAACATCTGTTTCTGAAGTGTATAAAATGTAACGGTGTTTATGTATTTCTAACAAACTGTACATAGAAAACAAGACAACAACTGAGGCATAAAACTGAGCTAATTATGTCATCATCAGAGACCAGCCCCTTGTTCATGCATACACTTACAGTGAAACTAAACATGACACTTTTTTTTTTGGACAAAACAACACAACAAACAAACAGAAAGAAAAGTGTGACAGCATATTTGTACAGCACATATTTAGAAGGCAAAAAAAAAAAAAAAAGCTTCTTAAAAGTTAACTTGCAAGTGAGAAAAAGAAAAGAAAATATAAGCTCACAAGCCATAAAACTGGCCTGTCATCAGGATTTAGACAAAGCAAGATTTGAGTCAAACTTTGGTCCTGAGGCCACTGGCCAACTGCAGACAAAGACATCAAGTCTTTAAAACTTGCACTTTTAAAAGAAAACATGTAAAATGGGCTCTTTTCCTGCATGTTTAATACCTTAACCTGGATGAGATGTATAATGTACAGTTGTAGCCAACAAACTATTGCTTCTCCTTAACATTCACCAAATCCATCACATTAATAAAACTGGTAAAAAAAAAGGCTCTTTTCTAGCTGGTCGAAGAATACTATTCCAGTTCATGCGTGCCTGACGCAGAATGATGCCATCAAAATGATACTAAAACACATATGATCTGACCCTTATGACAAAAATTATAATAATTATTATTATATACTTTATTACACTCTGCTCTCTCTACTGTAGATGCAGGTATTTAAATAAGAGTTATATGTCAACTGTAATTACACTATTTGAATAATGTCATGATCCACATTTTCCTCCTTTGTCCAGATCTGTAACCTGGTTTTCAGGAATAAATAATGTATTAGGTTTTGGGAATGAAGTATGATAGTTGTAACATGGCTGGCAATGAGATGCACATATTACACAATCAAACCAACAGGAGAAAGGTGGTATGTGGTAACTAAATTTAACTGTGTGATTTATGGTTTAATGGTATTGGATTTAAAGAAATTCCGAGTCTGCTCCAGTATACAAATATTGCAATGCAAACACGGGACAGTAACGACAATTTCTGATCCGCGTGCGTTCTTCACTGTAAACAATGAGGAAGAGGCGACTGATAAAAACATCACCTCTTGTGGGACTGTAATGTACCCTCGATGAGTAAAGTGGTCACAAAGAACAGCATAAAGTGCTGAATATACATAAAGTCTGCCAATATTATATGATTCTACCACCCCACTTTCTTAACAGATGCGTCTCTTTGTAATGTATTAAAGGATGAATCAGTTTGGTTTTGATGAATACAGACTAAATGTTAGCTTACCTATATTACAAAAATCTGTACACTGTGGCGGAGATGGTATCTAATATTAAAAGATGTGTTTTCACAGCTGGGGGTGACGATCTTCACTAAACAGCTGTTGGCTTAACTACAAATATTCTGTAATAAGTATTACTGTACCAAACAGGTCTAGACAAGACTAGACCCAGTTTAGCCAGGCCTTTTGTAGATAGCACATTACTTTGGTTATCTACCAACTGAGAACAGTTTCTTTATGTCATTGATGAAAGTATATTCACTTGTGGGCTGCTAATTCATTGAAATATTAAGCACCCATATATATGACTGACACTTGTTTGTGACTACACATCAGATTAGTGTAGTAAACGTTTCTGTTCATTTCTGCAGTTCTTCTACCTTTCATTTCCCTGTCTACTCTCTATCCTATCTCTCTAACCTTTCAATACACTTTCTGCACTGTTGCGTCACATGATAAATAATTTCCAGCCACGTCAACAGTGCCCACCTTCGACATCTTCGATGTATTCAACCATACGTACCACAGCCTGAACTTTCCTGCTGTACCACACTCTACCCTCCTCGCAACAAAAAAAATACAAAAGAAGTATTAAAGGGAACACTATTCATGGAAACCGCTAAACACTTTGGAGAACACTTTAGAAAACACCACGAGAACCAAAAGAGGTTGCAACATCACTGACAAGGTATCTACACAATGTACACAAAACTTCACAAGTTAAAAGAATAACAAGGCCACTTTCTGAGGAAAATTGCCAAATGCTGCTTTTCTCACAATGACAATTTGTCTGTTCTCGCCTGGACATGCATGTTTTAACAGTGGGAAGTCAGTCAGTCATAAGTTAATGCAAGACTTAAATTTTTCTTGGCCAGTTCACTCAGCCAAGAAATTCCGAACCTAATTCATAGTTCAGGCCTAGTTTGTACTTAACAATAAGATAATATCTATCATTCATGCCACACTGGGGAATAATCATGAGGACTTTTCTTTCCTAATCCCGACGAAGGCCAAATAATGCGTTAAAAGGGCAGAAAAATATTTGGTGATCAGATATAAACACATAATGTTCAGTTGGTCTCAAACTTCCCGATGCAGGGCTAATTCACAAATCTTTTACAGCATGTACTTATCAACAGACAATAATTTGACTCTGCATTTTACAATTATTCCAGATATTATGAGTAAAAAATAAAAAGACAAATCCATGAACCTGTACGAAGGCTAGTATGAACGAGTTAAGTTGCTGCCCGACTCCTGCAGGCTGACCAGCAGGTCATCAATCTTCTCCATGTTCTGAGAGGCAGACATGCTGTTCTGCACAGAGCCAGACTGAGACAGGGACTGGCTGAGCAGGGACTGGATGTGTGCGTCACTCTCTCTTTGGTTCTGACCAGACTGGCTGATGGCTATAATCTGATCCGACAGCGTGTTTCCAGGAGTGTTCATCAGCTGGCCGCATTCTGCAAGTAGGGAGCAAAAAATCCAGCATTATCAATAATGGAATGATAGAGGAGGTCTTATTATGCCACGTTTCTTTGTGCTTTTCATATGCACACATATGTTCATGTTCAAAATATTAGTGCATTTACTTCAGTACAGTGAAATGAAATGGAAGGACAATTAGCAGCACGTAAGACCTTGACATTATGTGCTGTGGGTGCACTTAGTTAATAAGCATCACCTTTATGCGGTGCAAGGACCGTTATGGAAAAACTGTCAAACTGCAGAGGGTCATCTCTCTACAGGTTTAAGGGTGTACACCTGTGTAATCATGCCCTTACCATTCTGAATCCCAAAAAGGAAGAGGCCAGATTGTTGAGGCTGGCTCGACTGATTGATGCTCCCACTGACAGCGGTCTGAAACAGAGTCCCTGGCTGCTGAACAGGGGAGGAGGTGGTCGTCTGGAGGTTTGCCACGCCGTTCTGTGAGGCAAACATGGCTGACTGGGCGAGCTCCTGAGCAGCCAGTCCCCCCTGCAGAGAGGCCATGTTAGACTGGGGCATAAAGAGGCCCACAGACTGCTCCTGCCGGTTGTTTGAGCTGCTGCCCAGCTGCATTGGCTGCTGCTCCTGAAACATGACTTGCTGTCGCGGATCAGTGGGGTTCCCTAAGGCCATGGGCTCAGAGCGGTCCTGCTGGTTTACTGTCACCATGCTGGCTTGGGAAAAGAGCAGAGAGCGGTTTTGGGGTTCTTGGGAAACTAGACTGTTGCTGGTCAGCGGTGGCATCTGGCCCTGGCTGCTGAACAGGAGGCTGGAGGCCTGGTCCGGAGAGGACAGGGGGTTGTTGCAGAACAGCAGGCCAGCTTGCTGTTGCTGCTGCTGGCCTGGAGAGAGTGTGTTTGCTGATGGATGTGGGGAGATGTTCTGAAACAGGGAAGCCTGCTGGGCTGGCTGCGTGTGGGGTTGAGGCTGGGAGGGCTGCTGCTGCTCCATGGGGGTTCTCTGCTGGATGGGGGAGAGCTGGGTCTGAGCTTGAAATACTGATTGTGGTTCAGGGGCAGGAGTTTGTAGAGCACTGAGGAAGGCCAGCTGCTGCTGCTGCTGCTGTTGTTGCTGCTGCTGCTGTTGAGCACTGGTGGTAGTTAGCTGAGAGGGCAGAGACGTCTGAGGGAGGAAAAGTCCAGGGGTCGAGGGCTGTTGGTCTGGAGACTGTAGTACTGTCATGGTGTTTTGGAAGAGAGCGGCCTGGACCTGCTCCTGAGAGGCTTTCTGAAACAATCCCCCCTGTGGATCTTGTGTTTCAGCCAAAGAATTGGGATTGTGGAACATAGGTGGTGAAGGGTGTGAGGGTGTCTGCTGGAGGAAATTGGTCTGAATAGAGAGCAGGTCACTCGCCTGCTGAAAGAGCGCTGCTTGTTGCTGCTGTTGCTGCTGCTGCTGTTGCTGCTGTTGGAAAAGATTCCCCTGGTTTGGCACCACTCCTTGTGACGGGCCCTGCTGTTCTGCGTTCTTGCCCTGAGAGGCATCCTGAAACATGCCACACTGCATCTGAATCTGTGACTGAAAGAGCTGCTGCTGTAAATTCTCCAAAACCTGCTGTTGTTGCTGCTGCTGAAGCTGCTGTTGCTGAATTTGTTGCTGTTGTTGTTGTTGTTGCTGCTGCTGAATTTGCTGTTTTTGGATCTGTTGTTGGTGCTGGATGTGTTGTTGCTGCTGTTTGGCCATTGAGTTATCAGACTGAAGTGGTAAGTTACAGTACCCTTTGGCTTTAAGTTGCCTTACTGCCTCTTCTAGCTGGGCCACTTCGTCTGGGGGGAACAGCGGCAGTTGCTGCTGTTGAGGTGCAGGTTCTCCACATAGCCTCCCCACGGCCCCAGAGCCACTGCCGGGCCTCTCCTGCCCGAGGCCCTCTCTGGGTTCCAGGAGGAACTGCTGTGTGCTTTGCTGAAGCAGAGAGTCGTCAGGCACAGAGAAGGAGCTGGTGGCTGCAATGTCTTGCTTCTGGATAGTGCTTAAAGGCTCTGTGTTGGTAAAAACAGAAGCCTGGCCTTTGTCAGGGTCACCTGCAGGCTGAGACAGGTTGTTGGAAAAGGGTCTGTTTTTATTTAGATGGCCTGCAGTCATATCTGTGTTCTGCTGGGCTGGACACAAGTCATCAGTCTGCTGAAAACAAACAATAGAAGATAAAAGATGTGCTTTTAGATACTGTCAAAACTGTCCACTACTCTTTTAGGCAAGTGCTGTAAACAAGTAAAGTATGAACTAAATAGAATTTTACTGAACAGTTATGTAATTTGTAATATCATATTACTTAAATCCAATCTTAATATTTTTCCCTATTTACAAGTTATTAATTGGGCTTTTTATGAGGTTACAGATCAATACATCACCTTAAATACACCAGAAGACTGGAGGTTGCTGGTGACCTCCATTGGAGTGACATCTTCTCTCTTTACTAAAGGCAACATTGAAGGCATCAAGGCACCATCTAGAACTGTAGGAGTAAGACCAAGAGACATATTAAGTCTTATTCAAAGACAAGGCAGTCCATTGTGACTTAAAAATGACTGTGTCCAGTTAGTTGTAGAATAGTTACGAAAGGGAAAATAACCTTTAATTTGTTCATCAAATGAACAAGTCTTCACTGGAGATGGCATCTCTTTCTTCACTGGAACATCATTTTTTGCTGCAAGGTTGAAAAAAACCCAAAACAATTAATGTACTTGTATCTCTATGAGCTCCCAAAAGGAAAATCCATGTAAATATACAGCATAATAATACGTTTTTTAGGAAAGCTGCTAAATGTGGTGCACAGGACTGTAAAAGAGCTGATGAAGGACTGTCCTGAATGTGGATGAACCTGGATTCTTGTGTTAAGATATAGGCTGCATATTGTGCTCTTGAAATATATTTCTAATGATTGCTAATATGTGCTCTGATCCTATTGAACTGTGGGTGGCAGTGTTCTCAAGTGATACAGCTGTGGTGCCAGGCAGTAAATCAAAAAAGTAGTTTGTAAATAATGACCTAGTAATCAGAAAGTTATATTCTATCTGACAATCTGGTCTTCTCATCAGTTGATTGTAAAAAGGAGACAGAGTGTTTAGAAAATCAACCCAAATTGAGTGGAACAAACCTGAATCTGGAGTGTAGGTAAAAGGCTGAACATCGTGAGATCTCCCAGCATTCGTAACCACATAGATCCCCACACACACTGAAGAGGTGATGGCTTGGTTCTGGTATGGAGGAGCCTTCACTATCAAGTGATTCTTGGGGGTGATCATAAAAAAAAAAGTCAACAAAAAAAAAAATAATAATTACTACAGTAGGTCTAACTGCACTTAGTATGGGTGAGTTGATAGGAAAATAGTGAATAAATATATACAACAATTAAAAGCACACTGTAGAGTTTTTGACCACTAGTGACAGTGAGGAGCAACATTTGATGAGCAGGTCATCGCTTTGTGTCTTGTGGTCTACCAGCATGTCATGAGCATGGGGGTGACGACATACACATTTCTTTGACTGCAGGAGATAGCAATGTACATGTGTACTTGACTAAAGGTGACAAAAGAATGAGCAGATTGGCTTTACACAACGATGCATTCACTTTTATATATTTACTATATATATATACTTTTATAAGATTTGTCTTATAAATTTACAGGGAAATATGAAAGGGTTAGAGCACAAAACATCAAGTGGGTTTGTTTACAAGAGAACTCCACAGTGTACCTTAAACAATAAACTAAATATCATCCAATAAGTTAAACACAAGAACCTTTTCTATGAGCTGCAGATTAATTAATTCATCTACTTCTGACCATTTTGTTTACAAGGGCAAAGGTTTAAACAGGACTGTTGAGACACACTCAGTATAGCCTTTGAGACTGCGTGTAATTAGGTCAGAACACAATGAGACTACTCAAACCTTTGAACCAGCAGCCATTAAGATGATTACATCTAAAGCCCCATACAAATCTGAAATGGCTGCTTCTATCTACTCATTAGTAATTGGCATTAATGGCATTAATCATTCAGTACAAAAATAACACAAGAACAATCACAATTTTTACCTGGTGAAACAGCTCCATGTCAATTTCAGCCTCTGCCTTCCACGATTTCTCATCTGGAACAGACAGAAGATGTAGACGTAGCAGGTTTAACTGAAGATAATTATAAATGCATAAACCAAAAATAATCTAAAAAGACGTATTTCTTACCAGAGACATTCTCCTGAAATATGACTTTGGTGTCTTTGAGAAAGTTTTTGCCAATGATAAAGACCTCTTCTCCTCCCCTCACTGAACAACTGTGCAGTGACTTCTTCAGGATTTCAGGCACCCCTGCAGGCTGAGCTGTGGACAGAGCACATATAAACAGTCTGAACAATTTTCACTGATTTTTTTTAACCAAAAAATATCCAGGGTTTATAGAAGAAATAAAAGAAGCAGATTCCTTTAAATTTTATCCCACTATTTATCCAAACATTATGTTCCCTTCTCTTACACAATTTACTGCTATTCATTTTTTGAATATGCAAAACAAACACTAATATAGTCACACATTAAAAAGGAAAAATAACAATTCCCCAGGAACAGAAAAAAGCCGCAGTAGACACATTTTTTTCAACAAATTGGTAAGATTAACTACAAGGTTTCTATTTTTTTTATTTACCAAGTTAAAGCCCTTTGAGACCATTTTAATACCACAAGTAGTATTAATTAAGAGCTTCAGATACAAAGTTGTGTAAACAACAGAAGTCCACACTTCTATTGTTTCATCCTTTCCTTCTCTTTCTCCCCTGTCCTCTCAAAGCACTTCTCATCCACTTACTCACAAACCTTCTTATGGCCTTAAGCGTCTTTCCTGTTTATGAAACAACCAACCACACCCTCATACTGCATTATTAAATAACACTTGAATCAGAAGGGATCTTTACACATTGTCTCCAAATGTGGACATCAAAAGACTATATTAAACTTTACAAACAGGACATATCCTGTGAAAGAGAAGTAAATAGCTCAGTGGTTTGATAATTATTAACTAACTAGGTTACATGTCAACTGTTTGTTTTGCCTCTTTTGAAACTGGTTTAGTACAGTGAAACAATACAACAGAAATTATATAACAATTTACAGTAGGATCTATTTCTTTGTATATCTACAATATAAGAGTTTATTTTGTAATGTTTCAACTAATATACCAAGTCAGACAAACACAAGGAGACTGACTTACTGCACAGGATTGGAGATGAGGGAGTCTGTAGAGTCAGCACTGAACCATCTGGACGGGGGATGTTGACCCGAAACACCAGCCGAGCACGTGTGCTCTTCTTTTTTGACCCAGCCACACCGATGCGAGCTTCGACATCAGCATTACGGAGCTTCAAGATCCCAACACAGTCCACCCTGCACAGAGAGGCAATGTTAGTTGGGAAAACTTGCAGTTTAAACAACAAACTTTACAGTGTTTGCTAAACTAGCAGCTCTTTACAAAAATAAACACCTCAGCATCTCATTACAACTGATTTCCCCAAGGGGATCAATCTACCTTACAGTTCATGTGTGTCCATTATGCTGTTGCTTTATTCAGCAATTGGTTTGAATTATCAGTGAAGTACAACTAGGCTGTCATAAAACCAACACTTGCTCTTAAAAATGAGGCTCTGTTAATGGTTTAACATATGAAAATGAAATTCTGTATTGGAGCAGTATTTATCACAAAAAAAATCCCAAATTTCAATCTCAGGAAAAGGTACATACGCCAGTGTCATGTTGGTGCTTGGATCAAGGGACACCTCAATGACAGTTGTGCCATCAATGTCCACCTCTTTGCAGGCTGTGGTGTTGCGGCCAGTCACTCTGCAAGCTTGGTAAAATCCATGAGGCTTCACACGTCCAGTATCGTTGCCCACAAACACCTGCAAAACCACTGGCTCATTCACTCCCTCCAGCTGTGTGAGTCAAAAAAAAAAATGCATTATTAAAAAATTAAAGAGGGAAAAAATGTAATACATACTGTAGGATGGCAGATATAGAAATAGTGACAATCCTTTTTGTGCGTGAGTCAGAACATTTGGTTCAAGATTTAAGGTCCAGTGTGTAACATTCAGGAGGCTCTATTGACAGAAATGGAATACAATATTCATAGGTTTGTTTTCATTATAGTATAATCACCTGAATACAGGAATCAATATATTTTTATTAACACAGAATTATGTTTTTATCTACAGACGCTGTGGGTCGACTTCCATGGCATTCGCTATGTTAAACTGCTATGTTTCTACAGTAGCCAGAAGGAACAAACCAAACACGGTCTAGATACAGTAGGGCATTTTGTGGCCACTGTAGCTTCCCCTTTGAGCTTCGTAGGGGAGGGTGAAACAAGAGAATTGCAATTTTGCAACTACACTGCTAGATGCCACTAAATCCTACACACTAGTCCTTTAAGTACAGACTGTGCCAAGAAATGTATGAATGAACTGCTAATTTTCAAAGCTCAGATAATGTTCTATAATGTCCTGTCCTGTGCTATAATGTCCTGTCATGGCTGCTTCTGCGATTGAACCCCTTCCTGTGTCTCTTCAAGATTTCTCCTCTACCTATTTACAGTGCCTTCCTCCTCTCAGCTTGTTTGTCAGCCTACCTGTTACCCTCTATATCTGACTTCTATGCCTGTTTTCTGGGTCATCTGGGTCAACCTGCTCTTCACAAGCCCTGACAGTTCAAACAAGCCAGTAAATGATCCAGCAGAACTCATGCAGCTTTGTGCCCAGATTCATCTACAGATCACCTCCTGGTCTAAGATCAACAACAAACTGACCAAATTAATAATCAAATGTAAGACTGTGTCTCTGGTCTGGCTCCGAACTCACTCTGTTCTTCATCTTCCTTAGTCTCCACTAAAAAGATAGATGTCTATGGTACAGAGATGTACATTTTGATTTCTGCCTTTTCCACAGATCATTTAAAAAATTGGTTTTCATATCACCCTAGACACAGAGAATCTCACTAAGAACATTAGTTTTTTCCACGGTCCAACTATTTTCTCAGGTTAAGGAAACCATGACAGCTCTACTAAATCTTCAACAGCAAAGCTAAATCAGTCCAAACCTTAGTTACTGAAAGACACTGGGTAGTGGAGATTCTGTGCACAGTTTTGCAGGTAAATTCAGGCACAAATTGGATTCCTGTGAGTTAATCAGTGGTCTATATAGTGGTGATTGACGGGGAAAGATTTCATGAGGTCTTACTGGCTAGCAGACCTTTCCTCACACCACCATCTGGATGTTCTCTTGTACACAAGAAATATCAAAATCTGATGAACAGATGCATTCACTACTTAAACTGTGCCGGGGGTGAAGAGGGGCTGTTCAAATCCAAACCTTTCTGACACAACAGTTCTACACTGACACTCCCCTCTCCACATATACAATACAAAACACTGTAAAACGTCATGGTAATGTAATAGGAAACCGAAATTCCAAGCAGATATAAAACAAATACTTGAGTAGAGCTGGTATTCCACTTTTTGAGCCACATTGACCTTTACTCTCTCACCTGGAACATATTTAATCTTAAACAAAGACACTCAATAGCAGAAAAGTCAAAACATTAACTACAGAGTTCATTACAGAGGGGGTTTCACTGTTACCTTCAAAGTAGGGAAGCCCTGCTGAGTGCGGTCCTTCACTGACCCTCTGCTGCCTTCGGTCAGATAGCGGGCTCGGTGCTGAGTCTCAGGCTGGACTACGATCTTCAGTTCCTTCCCCTCACTCTTCTGTGGGTACTGCATCAAAAGAGTTCCTCCTTTCTGTTTAGTTGTGTGAGGATCATCAGAGCTGCAACAAAGACCACTAAGATCACTTCTAATTCTAACTTTTTGGAGCAATTTTATTTTAGTTTGTGCATCACACTTCCCCATACAATCTGGTACTGTGATGGAAAAAGCAAAGAATGTTTGGAACTTGCTTTGACAGATTATGGCCGTGTCCTTATTTGTTCAGAACCCCCCGCACACCACAACCCATGATGCTCTGAGCAATGCAGAGCTAACAGGCCCTCCATCAACCAAGCATATTCTATCCGCAGCTCTTAAAGCGTTCAGAGTTATCTGTTTATTTAATCTGCTCTGCTTATCCTAGGTCTTTGAGAGAGGCTCTGTGATTCACTGTGGCTGACCATTGTTTGTACTTCAGTATCCTGCCCCTCCCTCCCTTCTGATCCAACCGCTCTTCTTCAGTCAAATGGGGTGGGAAATTTAGAGCCAGAGTAGTCTGCAGACGATTTCCATCTGTTGTGCAATGTGTCATTTCCTAATAATACCTATTCTGACAGTCAGGATGAGTGCTGTATGAGATTATCCAGAAGGGCCTTTAAGAAAATGGTAACACTGAATAAAGGCTGAATGCCTTCTTAGCTGTGCAACAACCACAGATAAATTATGAAGTGAATAAAAACTACTCAGTAAACAACTTCCTATAATAAGTGGGGTCTGTTTTGTTGGTCACTCATGGGTGACAAATTATCGGAAAAACTTCAATGCAGAAGCTTCCATACAGGATAGGAATGGTTTGAGTAGTATGAATATATATATTTATATATTTCAAATGATGAGAATAATATGCTATAAGCTTTTGCAGTCCCCAGATCTGATTCTAACCAAATACAAATTGGAGAATTTTGAGCAATAGGAATATGCTCATACGCGGCCTAATCCTAATGATTATTTTCACTGTTGATAAATCTGCTGATTCTTTTCCCGATTAATGGATTAATTGTTCAGTCCCTGGCCATTGGAATCCAACAGGTTAATCCGAGTTAAAGTATTTCAAACTTCATCTAAGGGTTGCACAAACCTTCCTTTTGGAACAGTCTTGTTGTCAGGGCCTAGCTGTGACAGGACGAAGTGTGGACCTTTGGCACTGTCTGCATCGAACACATCCATGCTGGCTCCATCTGCAGGTACAGTCTTGGGACCAGGTCTCTGGCGAGGGGTACGTTTGCGGGACTTTCGTGGCACCTCTGTGTTGTCATTGTAAGAGACAGTGCTCATGATACTGAAGTTGGAGACAGAGTCATCCATCCAGATGCTGTTACTCTGCTCTGAGTCCAGGGATGTTTCATCCTGGCAGGACATACGGCTGTCATCAAGCAAGTCTTGTGGCGGTGGAGAGATGTTCAGTACAGTCCGGCGTTTAGATGGGGTCATCTGGTGATGCTGCTGGGCCTCCTGGGATGTTGCGCCTCTTCCTCCTCCCAGGTCACCGCTACCCCTGCAGTTACTGCTACTGCTGCCATTACCATTCCCACCTTCTGCTCCGACAACCTCTGGTACCGCTCTGGTACTCCTGGTGTCCTCTGGGTCCACATTGCCGCTGTGAACCGGGTTCTGGTCAGTAGCTGAAGTACTGGAATGCATGGTGGAGCTGGAAGAGGTGGAAAAAGCACTGCGGGGGCCTTCCATGGTCATAGAAGAGGACATGGCATCTACAGTGCAAATAATTAGACAGTGAATAAAGGCATCCCAACCAGTGTTGGCTAGCAGTCCCATTTAAGCAGCAAAATTTGTTCATGATTGTTTTTCTTTTGCTTTTTTTGTTCTTTAGTATTTTTTTATTCATCCAATTAAAAATTTCCCCTTGTCATTGGATCTTACGTGTGTGTCTGTGGTTCTGATGATATCTGAGGATTTGTTAATGTATGTATGTATGTGAAACGCAGTATAGGTGTGACTAGGGGCCACAGAAGAGATCAGAGGGGAGCAGTCTCCCTTATTTAAAAAAAAATTAGATAAGATAAAATGCTAGTGAATAAATTAACTTGCAACAAAAAAAAAGGAATAACTAAATAAATGTAGCATTATCACTAGCATTTTGTTCATGTTCAACTGACTGACAAATTTGCCAAAATGTTGAAATGGAGAGGGAAGTTCAAAACAATAATATGTACAATATGAAGCATGCCAATTATTGGAGCTTTTATTTTCAATTTTTTTTTTTTTTTTTTGCTACAAAAGTTAATTTCGTTGGGACTGAACGTAGCCACAGAGACAAAATAAACAAGCTTCTGACCTATGAAGCAGAGAACTGCAGACCATTTTATATGCAGACACTCCCTGCTTCAGAGGGAACTTCCTGGAATATAAAAATGAGACAGCGAATGAGCAATAAGAGCTGTACAGTAAAAATGTATTCAGATTTTTTAAAAATTAAAATAATAACACAGGGTATTTTGTTTGTCAGAAAATGTTGCTCCAGCATGCTGACATACACTGTAATTTCAAAAGCATTCAAATAGTTACAGTGAACTAGATGAAGAGTGGGGAAAAGTCTGGTTAAGTTGCAGATCGTAAAAAGGAGTTAGACCGCTGTTGACATTCTGGATTGTTTGGTGACTCGTTAGTTTGCAATACACAAAGTCGGAAAGAAAAAGAGGTACATAAAACGTACGGAGGTAGTGTCATTTTGACCAAGTATCATAATACAAAAAAAAATATATGTATATATATATATATATATGATTACAGACCAAAAACATACAGCAGCAACCCAAACTGTTGGACATCCAATACTATAACAGATGTTGAGAGGTGGGTTATAAGTGTTTATTATACCCTACTCGCTTCATGAGCGCCATGAAATAGTTTAAAGGAGCAAAAACCAGTGCTGCAAATGAAGAAAAGAACATTAATACCACTGCTCTACCTGTTCTAAGATGTTTTTTTATTTTTTTGCCAGTTGGGAGAGTGGCTAAGCTGTAGCTTTTCAGAGGAAAGTTTTGTGTTTGGACACTACTATGTATGAAGAGAATGCACAATAAAAATATGAAGGGTCAAAGGAAAAGGGAGGAAATGTGATGCGGTAATAGCATTTCTCGACACTTTCCTGATAGAAGCAAATGCTGAGATTTCTAAGAACTAAAGATGGTTCTTTAAATATTCTTCAAACCTGTTTGTCCCTTTGTATATGTAGTGCACGCTAATCTTGTTTTCTGCTTTTGCATTGTTTAATGTCAGCATAAAACCAGACATTCCAACTGCTCATTTCAGTTTTCATTTCAGGAACTTTTTCCAGTGACTGATGAAAAGATCTGAAATCTGATCATCACACTTGTGTGGTTCAGAGCATCAAACCGAAGTGGTTTAAAAGTTGCGAGTGACCCTTTTCCATCTGTCCAAACTGCACACATAATGATCAAGATATTGGATAAATCAAATTTATGGACTATGTTCCTCTGCCAATATGATTTTCTCCTGTGAACAATAGCTCCACCTTGGAAGTAAAAATGGTCAACAATGCGATTACAGCAACTCAAAGCTTCCTAATTCTCTAAGAAAGTGAAAAAACAAACGAATTCTTTTGTGCTGAGTATGCCTCAATGTGAAATAATAAGCTTTGTTGGGCCCTCTCTTCATTATTGGTTACTGTGTACAGTTGAACCATTCATCTATTTTATATTCTGTATCACAAAAAAAAAGTTTTGAAAGAGGCAGAGGGCTCTGAATACTATTTATACCTGCAATACATGACCTACATTTCAACATTTGTTGCTGCAAGAGACGACAACATACTGTCTATTTCACAGTCTGCCAACAGGTACAGATTTTCAGTTGACTCAACCTCAGTGGCACAACTTCCCTGTTCAGCTCTTCTTTTACAGAGTGGGCTGGTTGTCTGACTGGCTTTCCTGCAGTATGCAGGTGTTTGTTTGCCCACAGGTACAGACTGTTACACAAGTTGTGTTTTGTTTTTGTTTTTGGGTGGGGCATGATCAGTCCTGCTCGCAGAGGAGAAATAAACACAAGAGGAGCAGGATCCTACCTTTTGCTGCAGCTGCTGAAGGGGGAGGCCCTGCCTCTCCACCGCTCTTTTGACTCATGACTTTTGGGTTCTGCTGAGTGAAGGAAGGCAACTGCAGCTCTCTGGGAAGAAGGTCATACGCTGATTCTGTTGGGACAGGAAGGGTGATGAGGTGACATATTGGAACAGGAACATGACATAACTTTTGATGGCAAAATGAAAATCATGTGTCAGCTCAATGACCAATTTACTGTAAATTGCACTTTTCTGTTATTTGAGTCATGCTTTCCCCAGAAATACCATTTCTCTGTTTAACCTGATTTTGTGTTACTGTTGTAATCACAGTGTTACACATTGTTGTACCACAATTTTACATCACAACTGTAACTGCAATTGTAAGAGCATACCCATGGTGTAACCTGGTTGGCAACAAATCTGATAAGTGACAAGGAAAGACCTACAATACAATACAATGCAATGTCTATGAGAACAATGCTTGATATTTCCAGCCTCATTTAGATGTCAAACGGGTTTACACATCTCTTACAAACTCTGCCGCCGGCTGCTCGTACTGTATTCCAAAAACATGCCACAGTGTTGCTCATCCTCTCCAAGATGGCCTTCATTTAAAAAAAGTAGGTAGAGAAAAAAATCATATCACATTGAATGTGTGGTGACCTTGCTTATGATGATGATTTTGATCATGACTTTAAACTTCATTCAAAAATCCATCTTTACTAGTTAAAGAAACAATAACTAATTCTACCGCAGGATAGTTGGGTTTAGCATTGCACTCCTATAACAAAAAAGGATAAAAATCAATGCAATACAACCACAGATATCGTTTTTATTCCCCACATTCTTCTTGTTAAAACCTTGCACCTACATTACCCACAATTAGAGCCGCACAATTAATCGAAGCATTATCGAAATCGCAATATGGCCAAGTGCAATATGCTAATTGAAAGCGCTGTAATGTTGTGTTAAAGGTAAAAGGTGTGACAAAACAGCATTATAATGAAGTACTGTAGTGCTCCTGTTCTACAAATCTTGTTCTACAGGTTTAAGAAAACAATTGTTTGGTACAGACTCCCAAATTTCTCATCATCATGATTTTAACAGCTTTTATTTTAGTGAAAATTCACTTTGTGATAGAAAAATTATTATTCCCACATAATTATGAATCGCAGTATCTGTCAAAATAATCACAATATGATGTTTTTATCATATTGTGCAGCCCTACCCACAATGCAACTCCTGCACCTACAGTTCTGTTGGAAATTCAGAGGTCTGGTAAGCTCACTTCTTTATGACTCCACACCCCGAGTTTTCAACCCCGACTGACACTGACTCAAGTGACATCACTTAAGGAAATCTGTCAGATTTCTTTCAGTTCCCTGTGGAGAAACTAAAGACCTTATACAACTTTTTTCACATATGCAGTAGAAGTGGTGACCTGTAAACAAAATTGACAAACAAAACAAGACATTTGAGGATACTTTTAGGATCAAGGGAAAATGTGTTGAACATTTCCAATATTTTTTCACCTTTTAAAACGATCAGCTGGTTAATCGCGACTGAAAATCATTACTTAAGGTGGAAAGCTATTATCCAAGCTACTTCTTCTCTTGATGGATTATGGACACCTTCACTCAAGACTGACCATTTCATTAATGGTAAAATCATAACTCAGGGCTCCGAATACATCTAGACAAGGACCGAACCAAATGGAAAAAAGCACAAGATGACAAGATTATTAAGGTAAAAGCAAAAGCTGTGGCATAGCAAATAAACAGCGGATCTCATTACAAACAGGCAGGGTCGTACAAAGCCCTTTTCTCTCCTCTCTGTGCCTCCCTCAGGGCCAACAGGACATGGTGAGGGAAGAGAGCCTTGGGTCAACAGCATGACAACACTTTTACTAGCAGCCTGATTCATCATCCAAATATTATGGTATGAACTTAGAGCGGCCATTACAGTCGCCTGACTCTCTTCTCTGCCAACTGCCAGCTTTAATTACTTGCAGCTGAGTCCCAGGGTTTGGTGTGTATATCAGATACTTAACCCTCCCATTGTTACCACTCGCTGTGTACAATAGACAAACCTGGGACATACTGAAACCAGCCCATGCCTCTTCATTCCCAAAGCCCTCCAGTCTCTTACAGCTCGCTTTAGAAGAGCAGGGAATGCTGGTTCCCAGAAAGGGAGCTTAAATCTGGACTCAGTAAACTCATATAACTCACACTGAACCACACATACACACAGGGTTCTAGTGTGGTTTTACTGGTTATTTGCTAAGTTCTCCAAACAAAATCACAGACACACATGCATGCACATGCACACAAATGCCCCCCACCACCTCCACAAAAACACTTTCTTTGCCCCTCCATTTACACTTTAACTCCACAGTCTTCTTGGGGCTCACTGACTGACTGCACATGCAGCAACATGTGCTCTGAGTGAGCAACCCTTCCAGTAAACAGATTGCCAACCGCACAGACAGAAAATATGTACTCTTCTCTCAGAGCAGCGGTCTCGAATCACTGGCTGGCCTGTTCAAAGTGTTTCCACAGTCCCTTGACGTCTTTAAATGCTGAAAAAAGTTCTTATTTTGCTGCACATTTGTTTCCTTGTAAGCAGACAGAGTGAAATTCTTTATTTACATGAGACAAAACACTGTCCCTTTCACGCAGGAGAAAATGTGAAAATTAAGAAGGTCAGTCTCGTTAGCTGGGAAATAAACTGACTCACACACCACGTGATGTTTTGATTTTAACTTAAGACTGCAGTCATGTTGTGCAGACCACTGAGGAAAACCTTTCATTTTCTGCCTGTCTGTGATCATCATAATAACAGATTAAAGCCTGACCAAAAATGTCGACACTGACAGACACCATGCTCATGTGGTTAGTTTTGATCAGGTCTACTCATGCTATTAATACATTTTGTTAAATATCCACTAAACTGAAATTTGGCTACTCTCATTAACTGGTTCACAAATTTAGTTTTCACTCATGTTCAAACGCACAAATAACTAACAAACCACATTCACGTCAGAAAGCCTACATAAAGTTAGATATATTTTTGGAGTCAACAGTTAAATATTATTGCTCTTTATACCCTCACCATATATTGTGATATGTTTATATGGTAAGTAGTGCAGCCTAAAGGTGAAAAAAGAAAGCACTCACCATGTGAATGGCAGGACTTACACTCCCATTCATTTCCCTCACATTCCTGCTGCTTGCTCCTACTAGCCCTGGCACCTGGGGCGTGGCACTGGTTTTTTGGCTGAGTGACTGATTTAACTCCCCTTCTGTCCCCCTCCTCCACTCAACCTACCTCTCTCACTCTTTCTGTTTTGTTTACTGTGCTCCCAGACCCTTCTCTGTACTACAACTTGCTCAACAGGTTAGTGGTATTGTCATGTGGAATCCTGTCAAGCAGACATGAAGCAACAGAATAACCTACTTATGTGGAAAAAATACACACAAGGTAGATATTATATTATTGAACGTCTTAGAATACTACTAAACAAAAAGGGATGGGTAAGATAAGATTAAGCTCACCTTGCCAGTACATTTGGACATTATTCCAAGCAGCGAAGAACAAAAAAAACAAAACAGTGAAGGGGCTGGCACCTGCAGCAAACCATGTACAACAACCCTGAAATGTTTACAGCCAAGCCTACATGAAGGCTGCCAGGGACTCCATAGCAACACAGATCAGGGGACAAGTCTTTTGAGCCTTTGCGTCTCTCGTGAGAATTAATGTGGAGAAAATTTTAAAATAAAACACCATTATCCAAACTCAAATGAAGAACTAGGCATTAACAGTGCAGGATGTTAAATGGACAACATTACAACATAGTGGGGGAAAAAATCTGAATCATCTCTGTAAAATGTCACAACATCTTACTAGTAAAGAATAACAGTAATGCCCCAAATAATACCCTTTATAATATAAGTATATCTTTCATACTTAATTAATGCATAGCTGTTGCATGAGTCAACTTAATCTAATAAGTGTATGATATATCACAACTCTGGTTTAATATTAATAAATAATCAAGTCACAATTGTAATGATTAACTACTTAACACTTTATGGATAATGAAGTTATAAATTCATTCACCTTCAGGTCATACATTAATTAATGTAGCTGGCAAAGGTTCAGCTTTTAGTAGGCCTACTTTGGCCATGAAAGATGCAAGATGAATTTAAGGGATCCTTATCATAAACGTTTGTTGCTGTTACATTTTCTCTCAGATACTGATATATCACAATATGTTGACTTTTAAATACAGAAACAACATTTCTGGTCAAATGATGCATAATGTGTCACAAACCTGAGCTTGTCTGACTCACTGAGCCAATCATTATATCTACATTACTAATGACTTTATTTTAGTGCAGTGTTCTTGTGTGTGTATGTTCCTTAAACCACCAATTGTCATCCTGAAAATGCCATCCCATTGGATCAATATATTTCAATACTGAGGTTAATTTGGTTACATATACAGAATCAAGAAGTAGACTAACTCTTAGAAGCACCTCTAATATAACACACTCTTGTATAAAACAATCCAATCCAACAGCAACACAAACTTCCGCCTCAAAAATGACCAAAAAGTTTATAACCTCCACAAAGGCAGGGTTTATTGCTAGGGGTACATAATAAACTGGGAACTGAGTGTACATTTACAAGCTAGACAAACTTGTCAAAGGAACATGCTTACTGTAAAAATGGTGTGACAATATGATGAAAGCATGATTGAAAGGTGAGGTCAGGAGAGCGTATGTGATGAAGTAAAAACATCCAGCAGACGTTACTTCTGCGGTCACATGGGATGGGAAAGGCAGCATGCAAAAAAAAAGCCTGAACTTATGACAACAACTTGTAGCATCGGCCATAAACAATTGTCCATTGACATATGCCAATTGCAGGTAATGTGATGACATGTTAATTAATGCACGGGCCTGCCTGCAATGCTGCCAATGCAACTCTTCCTGACTATTATCCCCACATTTCCTCCCTTCATGTAGTGTTTCAAATGACCAAACACTAAGGAAACATTCAAGAAGAAACATTTGTAACTGGGTGCACCAGAATGGGCATATTTAATGTTCATACATTTTTTTTATATT